ATGTGGATATATAGATTAATTTAATTTAAAATATCATTATTAATATTAATTGTGAAATTAAAACCTGATTTTTAATTAAATAAAGTGTAAACCTAATTTTTAAAAACATCAAACTAAACACTTGATTTTACGTAATTACCACATTGAACTTCCCAGAATTCTGGCCAAATTAACATCAAGTAAACATTAACCCAATAACCCAGCCCACTACCCAGGTAGTCCAATTTCAATATACCCTACACGTTAAATTAAAATCTAAGTTTACAGTCTCCAGACTACACTTCTTCTCCACTCAAATCCGTCGTCGCCCTTGCTAGTTCCAAGTATGGTATAGTTTCATGTTTCTTGAGTACTTGTATTGTGCCTTAAGTTTGGTAAATAATTTTGTGCATCGAATTCTTATTTTAGGAACTCGGTGCAATTGTCCTTGCTTGTGAAAAACAAACCGTTGTAAAAACAAAATCGTGCAGAATCAAGCTATTTAATTGACACTATTATTTATGCGATTGAGTTGTCTCCAGCAATTCCAAATCTGAAAGTTTCACGGGTTAGTTTTCTCTTGAATTCAAATAATTCAATTCTTAAATCAAATCAATGTTATTTTATGTTCATAAATTGTATTTTCTGTTCATCAAAGCAATTATTAGTTTATCAGAATTCTGTTTGTTTTAATATTTATACATTGAAATGCTCAGTATTTAAATAACAGTGGAAGTCTAGTCATAATCTTATTCTTTCATTCTGTCAGCACCTCAAAGTTAAGTCCTTAATTGGGATTAATGGAAGGGTAAATTGTTGATTTCTGCCTTGTGGGCCTTTCATCAATTTGCAAGTGGATGGATAAACACTGGCCCATGATCCATAGCTACTAATAAAAGAGATAAATTTTCATTTGGGATATTGTTTGCTAAATTGGCTTAGTATTGTTTTTTATATTTTTCTTCATAATTTTTTTTTCCACTTTGACGTTTGGAGTTTGGACTTATAAAAATAATTTATTTTCGTGGTTATTAACTGAATAGAACCAAAGCGACTTACATGGTTATGGTGCGATTATGGTATGACCAAAAATTTGATGGTGCGGTTACAGTTTTAGCCGAACCGACCCCAAACCGAACCGTTGTCATCCCTAACCTACGACGTTTTAGAACTTTATCGAACGGGCCTTCAGTTTGTCACAAAATGTTGAAATAGCATATGTATTATTATAAGCCAATCATTTACAAATTATGGGGTGTTCAATTTATTAGAAAATATTAGAAATAATCCATTTCATATGACAATCGTTCCATTAACCTAAACCTAGTTCGTTACAAAATGTTGTAAATAGCATATCTATTATATGAAAATCATTCAAAATTATGGAATGTTCAATTTATGACAAAACGTTGTAAATCCTAACTTATGTGACAATTATTCATAACAATCTAGAAAGATGACATTATTACTTTTTAAATTGTTATGTAGACGCTTTCACTAAAATTCAATTTTTTTTAGAAAATATCATTTTGATAATAAATTTAGTTAAGGTATAACGGTGGGTTGAATTGTCTAAATTCAAAATTGCTTAATTTATAAGTAGAGATTCTTTTGTCACAAGTTGGGATCTAGTGATGTTGCTCTCTGTCACACAACACCTACTCATTTTCATATATATTTTTCCTTAAACTTGATGAAAAAAAATGAAAGTGTCACGTATCATTTTAATAAACGGGACATGCAAAGTCCTGGGATAGGTCGACATGTTTTTACACTTCTAATATTAGTGTATCTTGCCTAAATTATAAAAATAATGTTATTTAGCATTATCGGTGCTTATCATCATTTTAGGTAGCAATTAAATATCATTAAATGATAAGTTCATTTAAATGTAAAGTCAAAACATCTATGTAATTGTACATATCAAGTGTGGGCATCAAATTGTGTTGACCTATGGTTAATTTAACAAACAAGTTAATCTCGATTACTAACAAGTTGAATTTAAGTGATTATAATTTTTCAAAGTATATTATGAAATATTAATCAATAATTGTCAAAAGATCAAAAACTATCGTCACAAATTGGACTTATGAAATTACACATTCATGAACTTAAGAGTCAAATTTCGAAGCAAGATCGAGTACTTGATTTCTTAGATCAAGTGTAAGGGTATTAACACTTTAATATTTGGTAATGAATGTTTAAGTTCAAAATCCTTCTATGCATTAAAAACTATTTTGTGTATTAAAGGTTATTCTAATGCAACAATTTGATCAAATATAAAAATGACTTTTAAAAATGATATTTAAACTTAAAAAATATCTTTTATCTTGAAAGTTAGTAAAAAAATACTTTCCAAAAATTCATATTTTTCAAAACTTTTGAATCGGGACAAACAGGGTCAAAGCGTAAAAAGATCGAAACTGATGAGCGGTTGACAGGCCGGAAAAGACAGTCAACCGGCTAAAAGAGGCGGTCCACTGAAAATTTCCAAGGTCCAAAATTTGACCATTCTGTCATTCAAACAAAACGCTATCAACCGAACGAGTCATTCGAACTCATAGATTTTTTGACGTTTGAACTCTATAAATATTGCCATGAGTTATGCTATTACTATGAGCTTGTTTAGGAGATATTTTTAAGGGAAAATTTGATTTTGAATAGTGATATGATGGGAAATAAATATGTGGTTGAAAAAGAAAAAAAATTATTGATGTGATAGAAAATATTATTTTATTGAAGAATGTGTGGTTGAAAATGAGAATTGATTTATTGTAGAAAAATTTAATTCCTCCCAAACGGCCTTATAGGTTCAATGACATAATTTAAAAGATGGTGAAAACACGACGTGGACAATTGAAAAAAACACCCATACGGTGCTGAGTGCCAAAACACCTGTTTGCAATCCGTGTTTGAATAGCATTATTGAATCTCCATGGGGCCATAGACTTTTATCATTTTCCTGAAGACAAATCCCAGTGGCTACAAATTCGGCGGCATTTTTTTTTTCTGGTAGGCCGAATTGACTACCATCTACCATTAAATTATTTATGGACTTATATTTTTAAATTATTTAGGAGATTAAATGGGTGGGATATGTTTGAGTTGAATGTGCAATTACGATGAAAACGACAAAAACAAACAATGACACTTTTCTGTTAAATTTCATTAGACGGTAAACATCTAAAGAATTCAAAAATGGACCATTCGTCACTTTTTTATGAGCAAAGGTCAATAAATAATCTGGAATAATACCTTCATTACAACCTGTACTAACCCTGCTTGTGAGCAAAAAAATATTGTATTAATCTGTCCCATGATCCCATCCCTGTCGCAGTATAACCGATCAAGAATTTGAAAATCCACTCGAATCTTGTTAATATTCCCCACCATGCTGAAAACCCTGAAATTTACAGCCTTTTGTTTCCTGATCTTCATTTCTCCGTCATTTTTAGCAGTTCAAACCAATATCAGTGACTATGCAGCTTTAATGGCTTTCAAATCCAAACTTTTAGTAAAACCTGACAATATTTTATCCACAAACTGGAGTTCAAGAACTCATTTCTGCAATTGGATTGGAATTACGTGCTTGAATGAAAGAATCACAGGTTTGCAGCTTCCAGGATTGGCTCTGCAGGGAACAATTTCTTCGTACGTTGCCAATATGACTCAACTTGTTGCATTAGATCTCAGTAATAACAAGTTGGAAGGTGTGCTGCCAAGTGAATTGGGATTCTTGCAGCAATTGAAAATTCTTAATACGACAAGAAATTCTCTCCAGGGCAGCATTCCAGCTAATTTGAGCCGGTGTCGGAATCTTGAACATCTGGATTTCTCGTATAATTTCATAGCTGGAAGCATACCAATGGAGCTTGGCCTTTTAAGAAATCTTGAATACTTGGCCCTTGATCACAACAATCTTACAGGCGGCATTCCTACATCACTAGGCAACTTTTCGAAGCTGGATTACTTGTATCTGGTAGAAAATGATTTAGAAGGTGAAATACCTGGAGAACTCGGAAATCTTATTAGTCTGAAACTACTTGCTCTTCGGGGCAACAGCTTTGTTGGATCAATACCTCCTCCAATCTTTAACATCTCGAAGTTACAAATAGTTGACATTTCTGTGATCGGGCTTTCTGGGGAACTCCCGGAAGATTTAGGCGATCAGGTTCCAGATCTGGAGAGGCTTTTCCTGGACAGCAACAGGATTACCGGTAAAATACCAGTGTCTTTGTCTAATGCTTCTAAACTTACTCACCTGTTTTTCACTGAGAATGACCTAAGAGGAGATATACCGAATGAATTTGGTGGGCTGCTCAACTTGCAGTGGTTCGAATTCGAATATAATCAAATATCAGGAAATATCCCATATAGTCTCTTCAATATTTCATCACTTGAAATTCTGAGAACCAGACACAATGACCTCAGTGGGAATATTCCTCCTGATATTGGCAAATGGCTTCCTAATCTTCGAGAAATTTTCCTGTCACACAATCAGTTCCATGGAGAAATACCCTCTTCAATATGCAATGCCACAAAGCTTGTCTATCTGGAGGTTGCAAACAATAGCTTCAGCGGGCCAATTCCTCAGATGCTCGGAAACCTGGTAAACCTCGAGCATCTAAACCTACAAGTCAATTCATTAGTGAACAATCCCGGATCCACTCATCTTGACTTTTTGAATTCGTTGGTTCACTGTAGGAACCTGCAATTTTTGATCCTCGAATCTAATCCTTTAAACGGTATTATACCAGGCTCTATAGGTAATCTATCGAGCAATCTCAAAGTCTTTACAGCTATATCTTGTGAAATTAAGGGTAGCATTCCACATGAACTTGGAAACTTGAGTAGTTTATTTTACTTGGGGTTATCCGACAATGGCCTAGTTGGGGAAATACCGTCGTCGCTTGGTGGACTGCAATACTTGGAAAGACTGTATCTGACTGGTAACAAGTTGGAAGGAACCATTCCTGCTGAAGTCTGTAACATAAAAGTTTTAGGGCTATTGCAGTTGGGAGAGAACAAATTTTCAGGATCAATTCCGACATATATTGAAAATCTAACTGAATTGACAGAGGTGTCTTTTGCTGATAACAAATTTTCCTCTACTGTACCTCTAGGGTTGTGGAAATTGGTGAAGATTGGAGGTCTGAACTTGTCAAAAAATCTTCTAGATGGTTCCATACCTACAGAGGTGGGAAACTTAAAAGAACTCAACATCATCGATCTCTCTTCTAACAATTTCTCGGGTGAAATTCCCAACTCTATAGGGTTCCTTCAGATGCTACTCACACTTGATATGTCCAAAAATAGTTTCCGAGGTTCCATTCCGGATACTTTGAGCAATCTAATAGTGCTTGACTTCTTAGATCTATCTTCGAATGCTCTCTCAGGTAATATTCCTGAATCCCTCGAGTTACTGAAAGATCTCAAGTTTCTCAATCTTTCTTTCAACAGGTTAGAAGGAAATATTCCAGATAAAGGAGTATTCACAGATATTACTTACCAATCTTTGATGGGAAACACAAAACTCCGTGGAGTTCCCAGCTTAAAATTTCCTTCGTGTCCAGCTCACTCGGGAAGAAACTTAAGAAAGAGAAGATTGTTCCTTGTCCTTAAAATAACTGTCCCCATTGTTGCATTAGTTTTGCTTCTTGTCATATGCCTCCTGGCGTGGATCGGTTTCTGGAGAAAAAAACCCTTGAAGGATTCTACTCGAACAGATTCTCCCTGGATGGGATATCGGATCATCACCTATAACGAACTTTTACGGGCAACTGAAAACTTCAGCGAGTCTAATGTTCTGGGAAGTGGGAGTTCTTGCATGGTTTATAAAGGTGAACTTTCTGATGGTACCATAGCAGCAATCAAGGTTTTCAATCTACATTTTGCAAAGGCTCTTAAAAACTTTGAAACAGAACGTGAAGTTCTGAGTAATGTGAGACACAGAAATTTAGTCAAAATCATCTCCACTTGCACAAATCTGGACTTCAAAGCCATGGTACTAGAATACATGTCAAATGGAAGCTTAGATAAGTGGTTGTACTCCCAAAACAATTACTCGAGCCCAGTCGAAAGACTGGATATTCTGATTGATGTATCAGTTGCCATGGAGTATCTACATCATGAATACATGGTGCCAATTGTGCATTGTGATCTAAAGCCAAGCAATGTGCTTCTCGACGAGGATATGACAGCTCGTGTAGCAGATTTTGGAATCACAAAAATTTTGTCCCCGAACCAACAGCTTGCACAAACCAATACTTTAGGAACTATGGGATATATAGCTCCAGGTATGCAAATCAACCATTGAACTTCTGCTTTTTCCCTTCTCCTCGCTTCTCCTTTAATAAAATAAGAAATCATTTTTTTTTCTTTTCTTTTTTTTGAAAATGTCTTATGAGAGTTTATTGTGCAGAATATGGCTTAGATGGGCATGTATCCACGAGGGGTGATGTTTATAGTTTTGGGATTTTGCTCCTCGAGATATTCACAAAGAAGAGGCCCACGGAAGATATGTTTAGAGGAGACTTGAACTTGCATCAATGGGTAAATAGATCGTTTCCAGAGGCACTGGCAGAGGTTCTGGATTCAAATCTCTTTGTCGATAATGGTTTCGTAAAAGAATGTGGAAGTGCCCCAATATTAAAGAAACAAAACCAGATTGAAGAGTTGCTCGTGCCAACCATTCATGTTGGCTTGCTATGCTCGAAAGAATCGCCAGAGGAGAGACCCGACATGAGAGATGTTGTTGTAAAGCTGAAGAAAATCAGAACTGAATTGACGCACAGGAAATAGTCCAACAGAGCAAAATCAGATACCTAATTACAATTTGTTGGCTATTAAAACTGTTACATTTCCATACTCTCCACATCTGGTTCTGATCATCCAAATTATTTCCATGTGCTAGATTGTTGATGGAATGTTTGGTACAAATGATTGGATAGCACCGAGACATTATTAGAGAGAAAAACAAGTTGAAATATCGTGGAATCCTATCTACTATTATGTGCTTTGATGGAGTTTTATTTGAAGAGATATCTATAATAACTTTTTTCATTTATCTTGTGGTGTATAACTCAATAGTGTGCCAACATCTCTGAAAAATAGATCAAAAAAAGATTGTATAACCCACTACTGAGAATTGATTCAGTAACTAACTAAATACTCATGGACTAGTTATAGTGAATGAAAAATCTCAACTCTTGACAATTACATGAAAATTTCATCTCCATATCGAAATCAATGTTGACTGTTTCTTCGTCACTGAATCCTCTCTGTTATATCTGTATGGTTGGTTAGAGCTTTGGTGATGAAATGACTAACAATTCCAATGGGACAAAATAACAGACAAAGAGAAACAGAATGCCGGGTCTCTACATTGTTCTCAAGTCCATCGTAATAAACCTGTCTGGTTGAATAGAAAGAGGCAAGTGTCAAAAATTCTCCAAACAAAAACCCCAAGCACCCCATCCCCCTCAGAAAAATGTGCGTCTATGAGTGCTATATTTATATGTCATGAGAGAGAGAGAGAGAGAGAGAGAGAGAGAGAGACCTTGCAGCGAAAAGATCTACAGCCAACAAGTGAATCCATGCAGAAGCCAATGTCATCTCGTTGGAGAACATCTTAGCTATACCAGGCAGCTGGAAAATCACAAGTGAAATGAGCAAAATTTTATGATCTCAAACTGTCCTTTTAACAGAATTCTTTCCTAATATTACGCACCTCTGGAAGCCAGTATTTACTTGCAAACATCAGCCGAATCGTATCAGGTGTCCAGGATAGATAGAGTAGATAAGCGTATAAAATTCCAAGAACAATATATGGTATGCCATTTTCCATCAGTTTCTTTGTCTGCTTATTGAAGAAGAGAGCATATTAGATCAATATTTGACACAAGGCAAAGCTCAAGTTTTCGAGAATTATGCTGCTGGGATAACTAACTAATATTAATCTAATATAACAGAAAATACTGCTATAATAGAAAAGATCTATCTTTTTTGTAGACTTTCCCTGGATTTATATTGACGTGACAAAGTTCATCACTGCCAGCAAATGGACAGGTTAAAACATTAGTATCACATCATGTCTCGTGTATATATCAGAAAGGACCAAATATTATCACACTAATATCAGTTGGTCATTTGAAGAAAATAAAGAAACTAGGTGAGCTACAATTCCATTGCAATTTACAAATGGAAAACAACAGAAAGCTTCACCAAAGTTGTAGTCAAATAGTAAAAATCGAAATAAGAACAGAAATACAGAATAAAAGTTAATGAATTGAGATCCAAGATAGTTGACTTACAAACTCAGCTCTTGGTGCTAAGACCATGAATGTATAAAATGGAAGAACAGCAGCTGTTCCCAATGTAAAAGCACCACTAGCAATCTGCGCACTTGGCAACCCTGCAAGTCAGTGTTCACACATTAACTTTTATTTTTGAAAAAACAGAAAGCTTTACTGTATTCTACTTCAAGATCCAGGAAAAAATTTAAACAAGCAATTTTTCAGTTATCAAGCCTGAAAGAGTAGCATATTAAGAGCCAAAAGAATACTTTGTACACATTTTCCATTTAAGAAAAAAATGCCCACACAACTGACGAAACGGTGAAGAAAATGAGAACGCAAAAGGTCTTTAAAAAATGAGGAACAATTTTAGCCTGATGCTTTAGGAAGAAAGAACGAACAAAAGGCAAATAATCAAATCCTCCAATATATTGTTGGGATTCTTTGATTCTCAACAATAATGAAAAAGAATACGAAATCTTTGATTAATCTCTCCATTATTGTGGATCTTCGTATATATAGATTTTCCTTGCACAAGCGAATGAAGTTAATATTTCGGGAGTTCATTCCTATGGTTATTTCTGAATCTTTTCTTTACAGTTTGATTAAAAAATGGCTCTCTTCTTTCTCTGTCATTTCCTTCAGACTTCAGCTCTGTTCTAATTCTCAACATAATGCAAGCACCCAAAAGTAGAAAAACAAAGTAGGGAACCCTGAATTGACAAGCTTCAACATTTCAGTTCCAGGGTGGAATGGACTGCTTGAAGAAAGCCCTTTAAAACCATATGAAGAAGGATCTTTTATGAGTGAATAACAATAAAAATTAATAGTAATATGTTGTATTACCCAAGCTACATTAATGAGCTCTACTTTTTTATTGAAGCTGATCCATTTGAAAATCTAATATTCATTTTTTAAGTGTTTTTTAATATTTATGGTTTCTTAATTTCTAATATAGGATCAGAACATAAAATTCTGAATAACAAAATCACATTTTCCCCTATGTTCTGTGCCTGCAGAACAGAAGAAGCACCTGATGATATTATAAAGTTGAGATGCCGAGTCCCAAACGCGTGAATACTTAAAATTCTATTTAGAAAAGAAGGTAAATCATGAAAGAGAACAAAGAAATGTGAATAATTACATGAAGCATATACAGCTGAACGTTTTTTACACAGAACATTTCCTCCAAGAGTTGATCTGCTGATGGTTCTTGATCCTCCTATAAAACTCCAGCCAATGCCTTGCTTCATGCCCATTCCCATAACTTGTTGGCCAAACATTTCAGTGTTAATGCTTTTAAGAGCAAAGGCAATTTTTTGGCTAATTTGGAAGTTAATCGAGGTTTTGGAGCCCAATCCGGAGCGGTCAATCTACAAGAGGTAGACCTAAAACTGTTTAGGACATATTATGTCACACAGCAGTTAAATCACAGGCCGAAACCAGAATCTTAGCACAAAAATCATGATTTATTAACTTCATCTTTCCCAACCTTTGAGCTCGGTAGAGATAAACAGTAATCGTGTAACAACTAGTTGATAAAATTACCAGCCCATGTGTAAAAGTTACTTTGATTATAATTACATCTGCTCAAAATGAACAATCTCGTTTACTCAAAACGTGTAGAGTCATTTCAGAATGAGAAGTCCCTAGCAAAATTTAGATGGGACGAGGTAAAGAAGTGTGGAAATAAAGCTAGTTTAACAAAGTTGCATACAACGAAGTGATTTGACAAAGAACATATATTCATATGATTCCAGCATCACCTGTAATATGCTAAAACTGAATACTTAAGTCCTGCATGAAATCAACAATTGAAAGTGACTGCATTTGAAAATTTATGTAAATTTTGTAATGCAAATTTCCCCACGTGTGTTCACACGAATTTAAGATAATTAATACTAGAATTAAAAACCATATTCAAGAATTGCAAAAGGGTAAATACATTAGAAAAGGAACTAATCAAGAATTCCCAGATGAAGAAACTGATCCAGATACACATCAATTCAAATGGGCACCAATTCAAAAAAAAAAAATAACACACACACACACAATAATGTAAGTAAAAAATCATACCTTGATTGAGAATTGAGAGTTGAGAGAGCAAGAAGACATATTTGAATAGAATTTGTAAAGAAAGGACTCAAAAACCTACTCCAGAAATATCTGATTCATTCGGAGAAGGTACAGATATATGAAGACCCACAATAATGGAGGTCTTAAAGAAGAAAAGTGAAAATTGGAGACAACACGTAAACTCAGCGTAAATTAAAGAAAGGATGGTGAAATGAAATTCATGCCCACTGCATTTTGCGCACTAGTGAAAGTACCTGAAAGTTTCCATTAGCCGAATCCAGACAGATAACCTTATTGGATAGAAGAGTCGTTCCTCACTATTGTTTGGGGATCCTTTATCCTATCAAGACAAGCCACGTGTGGATGTGTACGTGGCCCACGTGCAGGGGGACGGTGGTGGGATTCATTGGGTGAACCCACAACAAATTGAAAATGCTTGGTTTGACCATTACGTGGCATTTCTAAAATATCCACGTGCCCGGTCCATGATTCTTTATCTTCTTTAAACGTGCCACGTCCATTTTTTTCTTTGTTAAATTTCAAATCCTCCTTTAAAGTTGGTATGGATGATGGATCTTTCAAATCACATTTCACTAAATTATTGGGTTATGCTACAAATACATAACCCTTTACCTAATATATGTCATAATTGACAAATGGTGACCCCTTGTTGCCCCAAACACCCACCCAATAGGGGACAGTCATTTGTCAATTATGGCACACATTATGTAAGATATTATGTACGACAAAAATAATCCTTATTGATAATATCTGAAGTATTCAAGTACTTGCTACAATGGTGCACATGTTTAGACATATATTGTCTAATATCTCCATACAATACAAATAATTCGTCATAAAATTAGATATTTTACTTCATTCGTGTTTGGATGAGATTAAAAAGTTTAATTATAATTAAATAAGTTCATTTTATAATAAGTCCATGGTTGGTACAACTAAAAAATCTAATTAAAATCTAAATCAATATCAATAATTAATTTTAATCACATATTTGTAACGATTCACAAATTATTAGCTTGTTTGTTTGGGATTCTCAAATTCTATAGTAAATCAATTTTCATTTTCAACAACACATTCTTCAATAAAATAATATTTTCCATCACATCAATAATTTTTTCTTCTTTTTCAACCACATATTTTCCATCATATCACTATTCAAAAATCAATTCTTCCNTTCGTATTAGTGAAAATTTTACTTATTTTGACCATTAAATAGAAATTATTATCAAAATAAGTAACTTTCTCTATGTTTAATTTTGTCGGTAAAAAGAATATTTGTTAAAACTTATTTATTTATAAATTAATAGTATTATAAGTGTTATTAAACTATGTCAAACAGATGAGACTCGTGTCCACTTCGATTGAGATTTTGAAAACAATGACGTGCAAGCGCGTATTTGTTATGGTGTTTGTCAAAATTTTCAGAAGAGTGCTCATTAAGTATTTCCTTATTTTTGGTCGATAGGTATATATATCAGTAAGAGTTTTATTAAAAATTTGCTAAGAATGGCTCCCGAACATATTCTTAGCACAACATCTAGATTTATACTTGGTCGACTAATTTACTCACTTCGTCATGATTGATATGAGCTTAATCTTTTAAGCTAGACCTCTTGTGGTGTATAATGTCTTTTATGGCACGAGGTCATTGAAATTTTTAAACTTCAATCCATCCCAACGTCTTTCTCTGGCTCCATCCTCAGCATATCCTATTTTTATTGTTGGTGCCTTGTGATAATACATTTATCTGGACTTTTATAGTTGATTATTTATTGTTAATTGAACAATTATCCATCTAATTTTGTGTAAATATATTAATTGTAGGTAAAATCCAACTTGAATACGAGTGACCCGAAGAAAAATGCATTTTTGAGCTTAATTGAATTTGATAGAGTAGTTGAAGATCAATTTGATTGCATTTCATCAAAAAGAATAATTAAGAGAGCAATTGGAAGAAATTCACAAATTTCGAGAGAAAACCCAATATTTGAAAAGTTTGAAGATTTTGCCCATGTATGACAACCATTATTTAGGAAAAATAGAGTTTTGAATAGTAGTTTTTTAGGAGAATATGTTGTTAAAAAGTAAAGAAACATTTTGAATTTACGAGAAAAATATTTTATTTTCTGAATGTGTGATTAAAAATAAATATGTAGAAAAAAGAGTTTAAAAATAATGATTGTCAAACGGGGACTTAATCGTACAAAATGCGTGCTTTAAGAGCATAGTGGTACAATATCTTTTCCTATTCTTCTCGAGGTCTATAATTTATTATCGAAATTTCAATTATTATTGTATCCAGTAGAAATATGACACTTCTAGATATTTTGTAACAGTTGATACTTAACTTGTATCATGCATCAATGACATGACACGTTGATAGATAGCAGATTTGATCAAATCTTAAGACACACCGTGAACTTATTCGGAAATGAATTGATGTATCATATTTTAGGTACTTAATATAAATTAAGCATTAACATTTAAAATATCATTTCTCTTATGTGTATACAAATTTTTTTTTTTTTTTTCAAATGAAATGAAAGCATTGAAGATATACTTCGAGATTAAGCTTCCACTTGGTAAGAATTAGATACCCTATTTGTTAGTTCGACAATTATGAATTGATCATGAAAGTGATAAGAATATAGTTACAATAATATTTATTTGATTGCATTAGCTAAATATCATATACCAAATACCTTTGGGAATGTAGATGGCAATGAGATAGGTATGAGACGGGTCGACAATTCTCACCCTCGTCTCATCGAGTATTTTTTTTTATCTTGTCGCATCTCATACCTATTTAAAGCGGGACGTGGAGGGTTCTGGGCGGGATAGAGGCGGGGCCGGCCCCATTTATCACCCCTTTTTTATGTCTTTACGTAGTAAATATTATTCCCTTTTTACAAATTTATTAGAAACAAATTATGTTCTTTTTAAAAATATGATAAATCTATTATTTTTGTTTGATAAAAAACTTAAATTTAAAATTAACTTTAAACGGGACGGGTAGCGGGACAAGGACTATGATTCCCTACCTGCCTCGTATCCGTTTCGGGACAATGATATGACCCTCGTCCTAACTCCGCCATGTTTACCCGATTAGGCGGGTAATTCTTACCCATTTGGGCCGAGGCCCCACGAGTTTCGGGTTGAACGAGTTTTTTTGTTATCCCTATTTGGGAAGCATTCAATGGACATTTGATAAATATTCTTAACCCTTAAATTAATTTAATTCAATAGTGTAGATCTACTTTTAAAAAAAAATCGTATCATTTTCAATGGACTAGCGAAATTTTCCCTTCTCTTTTTATTTTTCCCTTCTTCTTAGAACACAAAAAGGGTCCTGAATCCAAAATCACAAACCAAATCAAATCAAATCAATCAAAGAACGAGTATTCTATTAACGGATAGAATCCCATATCGAATAAAAATGTAAACATAAACCAACTTATAAAGGATTGCGTTACTCCTTCTAATAAGGTTGACTTTTTAAGATGGAACCTCAATTCTTAACATAGTATTATAGCCCATTAAGATCTAACGAGCAATTCGATTCGATTATGACTCCAAAGTGAGCATATGAATTTCAAGATTGATCTGCTCAAACGAGCCATCGTTTTGCGGGAGTATGTTAAGGTATAGAATCACACATCAAATAAAGATGTAAATATAAATCAACTTATAAATGAATGTTTTACTCCTCTTAATAACGTTGACCTTTTAAGATGGAACCCGAATCTTAACACGTCGACTCTCCAATCCAGCTCTTCAATCATCTCTCTCTCTCTCTCCTACATCTATTGCTTAGAAATCCATATATGCTATGTGAATATATACACAATTCCATTTCAAATTCCATTGATGGATTGATTCGTGAATGGAAGCAGTTAGAAAGCAAGCCTCTAGGCTCAAATAACAGGTCGCTCATAGGCTTAAGGTAATGTGTACGGTAAGTTATCTTGGGTAAACAAGTACTTGTTCGGTAAAGTTAGATCTATATCGTTAAATTAGATCAATTTAAGGGCCAAGATTATTTGTTAAATATCTTTATTCATTGAACGCTCCCCAATGTCTTTAAAGTTCAATAGCAATCAACTAGCTAGAAATTTATTAATGAAACATAAGAAAATTCGTGAAAGAACAAACTCGAACTTGATCATGAATTATCAATTGTATTTAGCATTTGAAAATCTTCAAACTTGACAAGAATAAAGAATACAATCCAGAGCTAATTTTCTTAAATCTTACCGAATTTTAAAGGACACAGTCCAAAATCTCTAGATTCCACCTCAACTGATACGAAGGATAAGATTTAGCCTGTTGGAGCCTCATTTTTGTCCAAAATGCATTTTAAAATAGAATTTTGATGGAGAATTCGTGGTTAAAAAATAAGAAAAAGTTTCGAATTTGCATGTATTATTATTTTATTGAAAAATATAAAATTGAAAATAAGATAGAAAAAAATGTATTTTGATAATAATGAAAACCAAACAAGGGCTAGGTTTATGGTTGATTAATTGCCCGTTCGATTTAATTAAAAAAAATTGATAAAAATTTAAATCAGTAAATAATTAATTATAAAAACGCATTTTATGAAATTCACAATAGCAGGCTCAAAGGCGTACAACTTAATTAATTTGAGCAATTCTTAATCAAATTCTCACGATAAACCATTTCGACTCTAATTAATAAATAAACTTGTATTTTAAATTATTAATCCTCGTTACGATTTTATTATTATCGTTTTTGAAAGAAGTTAAAGAGTTAAAGAATTCACATAATTTTAATTTTACCCTTTCATGTCAAAAAAATTAACATTTTCTCTCTTAAAAAAGTTCAACATTTTTGCAATATTGAAAAAATAAAAACCAATAACATTTGTCAAAATCAAGTAAACGAACGACTTTTGAATTATTATTTTTGCGAATTAAATTGCATTTCTGCATAAAATACGTGCCAGGAAGAAAAGGAAAAACGAAAGCGAAGTAAAATAAACCCTACTATGAAATTCT